ACTTGGCTTTGGAAGCAAGAAACATGTCGACGTCCTCTTTAACACCTTCCATATTTGCATACAGTTTTCCCATTAAGATGGTGATGCAGCAAATGAAAAAGATGGTAATTTAGTGGTGCCATATCTGGAGAATATGGTGGGTGGGGGAGAACTTTCCAACCCAACTCCATAATCTTGTGTTGCATCAAATGTGCCACATGTGGATGTGCATTGTCATGAAGAAGAAGAACACCTTTCTGAGTGACGAGTGAAGAGCGTTTCTGATGAAGGGCTTGATTTAAATGTTCTAGTTGCTGACTATAGATCTCTGCATTGACAGTTCACTGTGGATTGAGGAGTTTGAAATGAATTACTCGTCTGATGTCCCACCAAATGCAAAGCATCACTTTCTGCGGATGGAGTCCGGTTATGGGGTCGGTAGTGATTTTCGTCTAGGACTGAGCCATTGTTTTTGGTATTTAATACTCGCATAGAGAATCCATTTTTCATCACCGGTGACAATTCTGTCTAAAAATGGTTCACACGCCAGAAGAGACGAAGCAATATTCACACGATGAAAACGATGATCATTGGAGAGTTCGTGAGGCACCCAAACACCTTTATGGAGTTTTCCCATATTCCTTAGACGTTTACGTATTGTTTCATATGTTTTATATGTACATTTATTTTTACATTGTTCTACAGAATACTCAAGATCAGAAATGTCATATCTTCTTTTGTAAAAACAGAAGAGAATAAAACATTCAAAACTCAACCATTTTATAAAATTAAATAAAATTCTTACCATCAGCATCTTTTAAGAGCACAATTCCTATTTAATCTTTTTTTTCTTACCTTTGACATACTTTAAAAATCTTTATTGTTAGTTTTAATATTATTCATTTTATCATAAGCCCTTCGGGATTTCCTAGTGTCTTTTTTTAACCAAATTCCTAGCTTTTCCATAGTTCTGTGAACCTTCCAACCTATCTATCAATTTGAAGATGGCATTTATCTCAAACTTTCTCCTTTATTATTTCAGTAAGCCAATTAGGTTTATCTTCCCTGTTATCCATTTCTTCTACATAGGAACAGGCATATCTTTAATTAAAATCAACTTATATAATTATACAATATCACTGTTTAAACTTATTCTATCAATTCACTAATGACAAATCTTTTCTCATAGCCTCAAAATTGGGTTTCAGAAAATAAGGGTATAAAACTTCATTTCTTTTTTTTTTTAAACATGTACCAAATCATCACCCTAACTATGCTTTTTTCTTTATTTCATTTTTAGTGCAAGGTTACACAATGGGCTATCTTCACAATGTCCACTGCAGGGAACAAAACCCCAGATTTTAACACTATAAGTTACTGCTAACCAACCAGAGGATCCTAATTATGCAATGATTGCTCTTCCAATATGTTTCTCTGCTTCAACTCTTACAGTCATATCCTCATTAGTATAAACAATAAACCCAAAGTGTGATCAACTCGGTTTGCTTTTCTTTTTTCCATTTAGTATAAAAGCCAACATAAGTTACTTCAAGAAATCTCTCTCCCTCACTGTGATTCTATACAATCCCAATATACATGTTTAAAATTAAAGATTTCCATAATTTTTGCATTAGTATTCTTATTAATAGTGACCCTGATCTCATTATACAATTTCTCATTGAACCCTCTTGTCTGATCTGGTGAACTGTAACAATTGTCATTTAACCTCTTGACTACCATTTCTTATGTTTCAATCTTAAAAGACTGTAATTCATCCCTAAAATAAATAACAGCCTCAACCTTAAAAGATATATATATATATATCGATTAAATAACTTTTAACCTTGAATTTCAAAATAATTGTTATTATCAATATTTTCCAAATCTCATAAAGCATCAGTAGTTCCCATTATACCATAGTTTTCCATTTCAACTAAAGCTTTGAAATCAGTCATTGTTTTCCTAATATTTCTAACAATGGAATAGCAGAAACTGTGATTATTTAATTGATATGATTTAAACCACCCATTTTCAAACTCCTCTGTCTCAGCTACCCTATCAATTTATTTATTCCAAACTTCCTCCACCACAATAAAAAATTTAAACCATCTTTAATGATTATATTTAGAGCTTCCCCAAACATCCTACTAGTAGGACTACTACTTAAACTGCTTTTAGCACACACTTTACCCTTACTCTGAAATTATCCCACTTGTCCAACCAGCCTCTCATTAACTCAAGTATCGGACTAAATGCTGTTTTACAATTTGTCACTTATGAAGTTATTGATTTATTATGGCAAGTGTCAACTTGTAAAAAGAAATAGAACCCAGCACGATATGTGGGCTACTCAATACTTACCTGTAGCGTTGCTCCAAAGACCATGCATATATCCCTCATATTCATAATCTTACGTTATCATTAGACTCAATAATTTCAACCAAAAATAAGTAAACATACAACTTCTATTTCATATAATTCAACATATCTAACTTAAATTTAACACTATAAATCTTTCCTTACCTCCTTTTTACGCTTCGTCTTTCGACGCTCCGCCATTATGAAAAGTTCTAGTCTACTGGTGACCTCTCTTGGCCTATAATGTACATTTCGCCTAAAGACGTGGTATTTGAAGACATTTCTGGTGTTTGTGTATTTTCGTAGAATGGTCTAGAAAGAAACACTGAAATTACATTTGTTATTGTTTAAGTTATGTTGTATAAAAGCTCATCAAACTTACTCTTATTAGAGAGAAAACTGTGACATACCTTTAAGATGAGTAGGAGTTATCTTTATTTTTCCGGTAAGGAGGAAATACTTCAGACAGCTAACACAAATAAATTAATAGAAAAAAAAGTTGAAAATAAACAATAATACTCATTTAGGGCCTTTTAACAGTTTTCCCCCAAAAAAGCCCCCCAGTGGTACAGCGGTATGTCTGCGGACTTACACCGCTAGAATCCGGGTTTCGATACCCGTGGTGGGCAGAGCACAGATAGCCCTTATGTAGCTTTGTGCATAATTAGAAACAAGCAACAAACAAGCAACCCCCAAAAAAGTATTGTTATAAAATTAAAATAAAAAATTAACTTGTTTTTCGAAAGCATGAGCTGGTTGAAATGACAACTTTCAAACTGAGAAACATCTATGATTTCTCACATGAATATGTCCTAAAGATTTTGAAATGTATTGTTGTAAACAGTGTTTTTAATATAACGATTTATGTGTTAGCTAGTGTGCGTGAAACGTCTAGAAAATTCTAAGCGGACGTCAAGTTTTTCTCACACATCCGAAGTTCGATTACAAATACAAGATAGTTGTGAAGATCGTTGAGATTTCTAAGATAGAGTTGAATCAATCAGCATGTTTTCGTTAAGTATTTGAATCTGTGTTTGCTATTGTTTGTCGACTTACATTCAGGAGCGTCGAGAGCCAACACGGGCCCCGAGGCAAACATGCTAGCCGAGCCCCCTTTCTCTCTCTCTATTTTTTATTAATTCTTTTCTTAAAGCCCCCAGTTGCACAGCGGTGTGTCTGCGGACTTACAACGCTAGAAACCGGGTTTCGATACCCGTGGTGGGCAGAGCACAGATAGCCCATTGGGTAGCTTTGTGCTTAATTCCAAAACAAACAAACAGTCTTTTCTTGAGAACTTATTAAAAAGAAGATCCTAAATTAGGACAACAACGAGCTCATAAACAAGGCAAAATCATAATAGCAGCCGTTTGTAGCTCACAGTATAACAGTATAAATTTTAATAAAGTAACAGCAAATATATATTAAATCTATAAAGTAACAAATATATTGTTACGTCTCTGGTCGTTTGTTAATTTCCCGTAAAAATTCTTTCCGGATACAAGCGATACAAGTCCTTTCTTAAATAAAACTAGTTTATCCTTTCTCAATACAACTTGGCAATACACTTAATTTCCACAGTCAGTTTAACTTAAACACACGCTATAATTCACAACGATTTACTTTACACTTTACTTACGGCTTGACTCGATTATCCTCGTTATCAATTTATCTGCCGGCTTATATACTAAAATAGAGGGCGCCTAGAAAAGACTAGAGTTGCGAGGAACAGTCATGATCCTTCTAGAAACTCCAGCGCGCATGCTTCCAGCGTCACGTGACTTCCGCTGTCGTAACACTGCTCCTTCCTTAGTATTGTTACGTCTCCGTTCGTTAATTAATTTTCCATAAATTCGTTCCGACGAAACTTTAGCAACACAAGTCCTTTCTTAAATAAAACTGGTTTATTCTTTCTGAATATAACTTTACGATACACTTAATTTCAACAGTCGCTCTATAACAACGCTATGCCTCACGTGGCCAACAATATTTTGTCCGCATACATTCAGTTACTCATTACCTCTGTTACGTTGTGACCATCTTATATATACCAGACTACCCCCAATCTAGTAGTCTCCCGATAATTCCCGAAGGTTCGAGAAGGACGTGGTGTGATACTAGTCACGTGACCTCGCTGACGCAACAGTATTGTTCGTCCCGAACAATAGCCACTTACATTAAACCAATAGATATTTAACAATAACTTGATTAAAAGTACAGAATTTACAAAAACAAAATTAAAATTCAACAAAGTCTCTTAATTTTACGGGACGTATCTTCTTGCATACTAGTCTCCGTCTCGTTGGCTTCTGCTTCACGTAAAGTTCTTTTGCTGCATCGGGAAATGTCCTGTTATCGGTAATAGTCACATCAGTGGTAGTAACTTCATTAAGGGCTTCACTGTTTTCCTTCTCAAAACCAGGTAGAGTTTCTTCTACGACAGTAGCTTTTTCAGGTGACATGTCTTCAGCAGCGTCATTTGTTCCATTATTCCCTTTATTCCAACTGAAATGTCCTGGACAATGATAACGCCAAAGCCTGTTGGCATGCGACACCTTTGGTTTACCTCGCCGACCACATTTTATTCGGAAAGTCACGTCTGAGAGAGGATCCTCTGTGTTATATGGGCCTTTCCACGGAGAAGACAACTTAGGAGACTTCCCTTTGGTCTTTCTGGGATTATACAATCACACCTTTTCTCCTGGTACAAAGCTGACTTCAGTAGATCTCTTATCACAACATAGCTTCATGGAATCAGCAGACGTTTTCAAGTTTGAATGCACTTGATGAT